TGTTATTTCTACACAATTGTGTAGACTTGTTTTAACAAAAAAATTGTGTTGTTTTTTTCTATGGTGTATTGTCCACATAATGTGCAAATTAATCAAATTATTGTTTGGGTTTTTATGGTGTTTATACTTCAATCAATTTGATAAGTATAAATTGTTGAAGTTAATCAAGTTACAATTAAAGAAGACTAAAGGAGTGGTGTAGGTATGAATTGTACGCCAAAGAAATATTGCAGATGTAGTATGTATCAAACATTTATAATTGGTTTAAAATAAAAAAAATTATTATATTGGTAAGTCTGGTGTATAAGCCCTCATCTAATAAATTTTGTAGATAATTTACATACCTTACTATTTATAAATATATTTAATTGTATCATGATGATGATGCTTTTTTTTTCTTTCGGCTCCAAAAACAAAAATTACTGGAAAAAATATTAATGATGATATGATTTAACTGCTATAACGAATTATGCAAAAGAGAATACATCCTATAAAACTTATAGACTACAAGCCCATCGAAAATTTTCAAGGGGTCATTTGACCCAGCATGAATTACTTATAAATCAATACTACCACATATAACAATAACTTTAGAAACTATGCCGTCAATTCTTGTTGGTACAGGTGAGTACACAGGTAAGCTAAACATTTTTGTACGGAATTTCTAAAGTATATAGGTTATACAAAAAAAATGAACCTCGACCTAATGCCGTAAAAAAATAGCAATACAGGAATTATTTTTAAATAAATAAATAAATAAATAAATAAACAATTAATTTTAACTCAATATTCATGAAAATTCCTATATAAATACTTATATTTAAAACAGTGTTTTGAAGTAACAGTACCCTCGCATTTGCATATTTGCAACTTCTGTTACAATTTATGTAAAAATGAGACCATATGGCATGGAAAATGTTTGTTTAATGATAATTTAATACTATGTGATATTAAATTAAGATTTTGTGACCAATGACCATGTTCCTGAATTATTTAATAAAATACTATTTTGTCTCGAGATTTCTTTATTAAAATGTTAATATAATAAATAAAGAAAAGAAATTTATGAAGCCTTATTATATGAGTATTAAATTATTGCGGTACAATTGTTGTTCGCGTGTAGATACAACAACTAAACACTGTCCTGAAGTACTTCAAAACTCTTGTTAACATTTTCTTAGGTTAAAAAAGAATGATCGTGTCTCTCAATATATAAATGAATCTGGTTGGTTGCGGATGGACGATTTATATAATTATAATTTATCCACAACTGTTCATAGTGTTTTGAATATATCTTCTTCCTCTTATTTACGTGATGAATTACGTTACCGCTATAACATTTATAATATTAATTTAAGACGTATTTCTTTACTGCATTTGCCTAAGTATTATACTACGCTATACGAAAGATCATGTTCTTACAAGTCAGTGAATTATATTTGTAGCTATTATTTAGTAAAAACTTCTAGAAATAAAAAAGGCATGAAATAATTATAAAAAGTTGTAAATATTATGATAATGGAGTAGCTTTGACTAGACTGCGCCTTTTTATATTCTTTGTGCTTTAATTTTATTTTAAATAAAAAAATATATTATTAGGGGACTAGTTTGTAGGGGATGGGATAAAAATTGAAGATTAAATAAATACTCTCTGAGAAAATTAACAATTCCCGTTACATTTTGATCAAACCTCGTATATATATCCATAAATCAAATATACAGGGTATTTCCAGTTTTAATCTGGAAAATTTAATAGTCGATAGAACCTGCAAAAATATAAAAATAAAAAGAAAAGTTCATAGGAACTTGTATGTTTTAAAACTACGTTTCCGAGATACAGGGTGTTGAAATTAATTAAAGAAAACTTTTTATTTTCAAATATCTCAAAACCTATTTGGCCAATTTTGATAAAACTTTGCCCGATTTTAGTAATAAGTAAGAGATTTAATTTGAGATACTTGGATTTAATTTATTTTTCCAAGGGCGACGTGGGTGCATCCGAAATAGATATTTTTAGGAATAATTTGAGCACGCTATTAGTTATTCATAAGTTTGTTTAATTACTCAATCTATAACAAATAAAATAACCCGCTATTACTCGAACAAACTTGGGTTGTTTCATTCACCTTAGACCCCAGGGCTAAGTTGGCGACTGGTTTCAGCTATATTTATGGTATACTAGCTCAGTTGACGGAACCCCGAAACATCGTGATTGTGGTCATTTTCCATAAACAAAAAATTTTTCATAAATCGGCAACAAATATGTAAATTATAGAAGGATAAGGATTATTATTATTAACAATTACACAGCCTCACAAAAAAAAGGGAGGTCCGAAAGACAAGACTATGGTATCTATATGTTTTTGGGGTCGCTGAATCCAAATCCGGCATCCGTTTGACCTGATTAGCTCTGGGTTAAAGTCAGTTCAAGAACAAATGTAGAGAATAAACTGCGAACAAAGTAAATCAACATATCTTTGGTTTGGTTTTTGGGCTCGCCGAATCCGAATCCGGTGTCCATTTGATCCGAACAGGTCTGGGTCAAGGTCAGTTCAAGGTCAAATGCAGAAAAATCAATTACCAACAAAGTAAACCAATATATTTGGGGTGACTGAATCCGAATCCCATGTCCGTTTGACCCGATTGGCTCTGGGTTAAGGTCAATTGAAGGTCAAATGTAGAACATCAATTGTCAACGATGTAAACCAATATATCTACACGTTTTTGGGGTCGCCTAATCCGAATTCGTTGTCCGTTTGACCTTATTAAGTTAGAATGTAGAAAATAACTAAATTAAGTTTAATTACATCAGATTAAGCCCCTTAGTTATTACTAAAAACGTGCCAAGTTTTATTAAAATCGATCAGTTCTTGAGAAATTTGAAATGAGTGTTTATTATTAACTTTAACACCATGTATCTGGATAGCAAAGATTTAAAGCATACAAGTTCGTTGTTAATTTTTTCCGATTAAAATGTGACACACCTTGTATAACGTATAATTTAAAAAATTTATTAATCGACTAACAATGCAATAAGTTTTCGTGTCTCTTGTGAAAATATGTTAGTTTATCATGTTTTAAGAGCCCTCTAAAAAATCAGCTCAAAAAACATTTGTTTAGAGGTCGCTCATTTTCTAGGTTGAAACAAATCTCGATTCTGAAAATTTCAAATCGATATTTTAATTTCTAAATGTCGTTCATAATAATTTAACTTTCAAAGTAGTGTACCTATGTTTTCGAGCGACCTCTAAAAATAAATATCAACGAACTAATAATTTTTTTTATTGAATTTGATGAACAAAAGAATAGAAATAAATCACGAGACACTTAAATTTTAAAAAATTATAAATATTTGATACAGTGTGGTAGTAAATTTTGAATTGAGAAATTTTTTATGTGTCTCGTGATTTATCTCTATTCTTTTGTTCAACAAATTCAATAAAAAAAATTATTAGTTCGTTGATATTTATTTTTAGAGGTCGCTCGAAAACATTTTAGGTACACTACATTTAAAGATAAAATAATTATGAGTGACCTTTAGAAATTAAAATATCGATTTGAAATTTTCAGAATCAAGATTTTTTTTCAACCTAGGAAATGATAAAATATCGAGAAAAAAATTTTAAAAAAATTAAATTTTTGACGATTTTGAAAATTTTTAAAAATCTTGAGCGCTCTAAAAAAATTTTTTTAAGCTGATTTTTTGAGGGTGCTCTTAAAACATGATAAACTAACATATTTTCACAAGATACACGAAAAAAAAAAATATTCGTTTTTTTTGGGCCATACAGTCTTCATAAATGTTTACAATATAAATGATTCGTTTACAATGAACAATGACAAACCGTTACGTCTACGTCATTACGTCAATCGAAGCCGATGAAACAGAATATTGTGTTTTAATGTAGTTTTTATATTATCGTTTTAGTTTTACCGAAATTTAGTTGCCAACATGCAGGAAATAAAATTACTTGTCACGTGGCTTGTAATCATTTATGAAGGCTGTGTATTTGAGAAGATCTAAAAATTATCAAATTTCTTTCACGGGTAGTTTTAGATGTCTACTAATCGTGATGTGGGCTTCTACTGTTTATTTATTTAATAAATTTTCCCAACAGGCATAAATACCTAATTACAGGGAAATAATTACTACACTGAATTGTAAATATGAGACTACCTAAAACAAGCACACTAACCAAAATACATTGAAGCACTATATCATAAGGGCAAACAACATCCACATAATGATTTTGCAAAATTAAGACATGTAAAAGTGATGATTATGGTAAATTGTTTATATTTTTTGAATATGTAGGATATATTTTTCGTAACTAACGTTATTCAATATGTATCTCACTAAAGAAATTTACAATGTTAAGACTTTCATTATTAACAATAACAATAAACGTTTTTGCAAAAAAAACCCAAAGTAAATTTAAAAAAATAACCCTTTCACTTTAGACAAAAAAATTGCGAAGTGAAAGAATTACAAACAGTATTGCAAAATAGTTAGGTTTAAGCAACGTTTGAATTTCTTCTCTTAAAAAATTCAGCGGATCTAGTTTCTAAAGTAGGAGATATTTATTTATCCAATGAATGGATTTGAATTTCATTAAATATCATTAATTTATTTACCAACATAATTAGAAACTGAGGTGCAGGATTTAGTAATAAAAAAATTTGTAAATATTATGAGAATTACCATGATTTTGCAATGTTGGGGATTCCCTTACTTTCACCATTTCCAGGGACAAACCAAATTTTGTATGCATAATGACTTTTCTAAACACTTCAGTTTTGCAGAAGTTATCATGTGAAAAAAGAATTTGACCTCATTGGCCAATGAAGCTATTAACAACTGTATAAAGTGTTTTATTATAAACCAGTGTCAAATACAAAATACGTAACAATATAAAAAAATGTCAATAGTCCAAAGTCCATAACGTGTGTCCATTAGTTTAACTAGTGCAAAGTTTAACCTAATCGAACAACTTATTCGACATAAATAAACATTTGGTCGTCTAGTGGTGGTGGTGGTGGTGATGGTGGCCGTCATCCCCTTGGTTGCCCCAGTGGGTCACACCCACGTAACTGGTGCCGCCGTGTCCGTGACCGTGGTGACCGGGATGGTGGGCATGACCACGTCGCTCTACTATGGCCTCGAAACCCTTGTGCGGCCCAGAGATGTACTTAACAACGCGATGTGTGCCATCGGGCTCTTTAAATTCGTATCCTCCATGGACGTGGTGGCCGTGTCTCTGCTCGTGCTGCGACTTCTTGTCGTGGGTGTGGGGGTCGTGGACGCCGTATTCAAATTTGTAGTGAGCGTTGTCCTACAAGCAAATGTCGATATAAAGTGTTTTGGATAAAAGTACAAGTTCAGGGACCGATAGAAGAATTTTTCTGTGGACCATGAAGCAATATATTTTTGAAACACAAGGTGTTACAAGTTATAACCATATTTTTTATGGATCGAAATAAACCGAAACAAAGCAAGTTACCTTAATATGATTTTGCTTGCTTGAATAGTGCCTAAAAAAATATATTCCATTTTAAATACTTACTAATAACTTTTTAAGGAAGCAAAATTGTGCTAAGGTAACTTGATCTAATTCGATTTATTTTCATTCAAGCAAACTACCCTTAAATTATCGTCCATTGATTTCCGGACGCTCTGTATATTACGAAGTAGATGCTGGTTTACTGGTTAATTACGTTTTTCTCGAAAACTACATAACAAATATATGACGTACTACACCGTAAAAAACCTAACCTCAGAAAAGTTATGTCATAAAATATCACAGTGACATATTTGACACCCTTAAAAACTTATCTATACCATAATTCAATATACAGGGTGTTACAAATTAGTAGGTCAACCCCTTAACCACATATTCTTTAGACTAAAACAATGGGACTTTTCTTATGTTACTTTTCATTTCGAAGCCCCATTTTCAAAGTACAGGCTGTCAAAACTAAAATTTAAAAAATGATTTTTATTGATAACTCCGGTGATTGTAGAGATATTTATTTGAAATTTAATACATATTTTAATCTTCGATCGGTACACTTTTTGTATAATTTTGGTTTAAAATATCAAATTGCGAACGCAGGGGAAGGGGGTCGCAGTACCCATGGACCTCTTATTTTTTTTTTCAGTGCGCCTATGCTTTTTTAGATTAAGCAGCGTTTCATTCTATTTTTTTTACTTTTGTAAGATTTGGTTTGGGGCTTAGTTTACGAAAATGGATATGATCATCATCATGATCAGCGATATATAACTTGAGCTAAATCTAACATTTCTAAAAGAGTTGCAATATCTCTTTTTTAGATTAAGCAGCGTATCATTCTATTTTTTTTACTTTTGTAAGATTTGGTTTGGGGCTTAGTTTACGAAAATGGATATGATCATCATCATGATCAGTGATATATAACTAAATCTAACATATCTAAAAGAGTTGCAATATCTCGTACAGCAAGCCCCAAAAAATCAAAATATGTGGTTTCTGCTTAAAGTGCTCTTTACCTCGTACAATTCGTTTCTTTAACTGTTGTTTAGTTAGTATTGCTGCCATATAAAAGAAGTTTTTCATAAAATCCCAACAATTAAAGACTAACGTCGACTAAATTGGTGTCATATCCAAAAAAGTTACAATATCTCGTAAACCGAGCCCCAAATCAAAATCTTACAAGAGCGAAAAAAATAGAATAAGACACCGCTTTATCTAAAAAAAACTATTCGGAAACATACGTGTACGCAAAAAAATATGAGGTCCATGGGTACTGCAACCCCCCTCCCCTCCGTTCGCGATTTGATATTTTAAACCAAAATTATACAAAAAGTGTACTGACTGAAGATTAAAGTATGTGTTAAATTTCAAATAAATATCTCTACAATCACCGGAGTTATCAATACAAATCATTTTTTAAATTTTAATTTTCACACATATGTAGTTAACTGCATGACCTACTAATTTGTAACACCCCGTATATTATGTTACTCTTCTTTGTAAAAAAATAGAAATATCAAACAAACTCGTACGCCAAAAATATTAAGCAAGTGTTGTTTTTACGAAATTATTTGTGCTTCACCTTTTAAATTTTGGTAAAAGCTAATATACATATGTATGTTGCGGAAATACTTATCAAAGCAAGGATATGTACCACATTTTTGTTTGATTAAAGTTCTTTGTAGAAAATATTTAAAAAACATTCTTTGTTACATATAGTTCGTCACATACCCAGACGTGCTAAGTGTTGGACGTCATAACATACTAGTTATGAATAATGTTGTGCAAAGAAAGTTATAAGATTTGTTTGAAAAACTCAGAGATATACGATACAATATTCAAATTTCTTGTATATTAGTACTTATTAGTGAAATAAAAAGTTATAATTGATAACAATTTTTAATTATATTTTCTAAACTCGTTTGATGACTGCATCTGAATACTGTTTGTTTTTGATTTCAAGATTGAACAGTTTTTTCACCCATATTTTTACTCATTTTGAAATTTTAATACCGGTGTCTTTTAAACAAAATTTATATCATATAGGTATAACCCTTTGTGTTAAATATATTTTAAGTACCTTAGGACAATTTTTATAAAATTTCTAAACTGAAAAATGTGTTTAAAGAACTATAATGTAAAAGCAAGAGTTACAATATATAAAAAAATTTGTGTGAATCTACGAAATTTTGAGTTTTTACTAGTATTTATTTATGTATATTCCAGTAAAGTTAAATAAGTTTTTAAATAATGTGACACAAATGTTCATTTAGTCGTGTTTTCTAGATAAATTAAAGACAGTGCCACAAATACATAAATTTTGAATATATATTTCTTTGGAACTTACATGGTGATGATGACTAGCCAGGGAGACTGTCAATGTGGCGCAGACTACAATGAAAACCTAAAAACAAAACCATTTTTAACACAATTTGAATACATTTACAAGTACATATGTAATATCAAAAGCAAATTTTTAAACTTATAGACATGGATAATATATAACACATACTGTGGCAAGATGCATTTTGTTATTTGAAGTGTTGAGTTGGTACTGACTCCGATATTGATCATTTGGATATTTATATGCCAATAAAATATGAGATATACTTTCAATACGAAATTAGAAAATATAAACGACTAATGAATTTACGTTATAATGTGTCGTGGTTCGCTAAATTTCATTCAGAAAATAATCGACAAAAAGTAGTTTACTTTTAGCTTTAATAATATCTTTTGTTTTGTATCCTCGGCAGCCAAAGCTTTCGCTTTGAAAACGTACTGTTGTGTAATGTATGGATTTTGTGTGAATAGTTCTTAAATTATAATAATTAATGGCCTGTGATATTGTTTGCACGGATATTTGTCAACTCGTGTGGAATAACAGGCTAAAATTGTATTTAATGACGTCGTTTTTAAATAACACAGTGAAAATATCTGTACAAAATCCAACAGATTCACAATATTTTGTTAAAACTTAGAGTAATCGAAAGAAACTAAATGAAGTAAAAGTTTAATTTTCTTAAAGGTAATTTTATTCTTAATCCAGAAAAAGAAACTCGTTTATTGCAATTCTTTATTCATAAGATAAAACTGTTTTGTAATTGTTAATTACGTTTCATTAACAACTGATTTTTTCTGAAACTTTTTTGGACTGATTTTCGACCCAAATTGTTTAAAAAAAAGCAATGTCGCTAATGAAAACAATTGACTCAAGAAGTGAGACACCTTTTTACCAACAACTTGTATAAAACGCCTAGCAATAAAATTTAATGAGTTATAGGCGCCCCTAAAAAATGGTAAATTTCAGTTTGTTCCGTTTCAAAAGGTCTCAAAAATGCCATGTTGTAATAATATTAGTAAACAAAATATCCCTCTTATTTCTCCCTTTCGCAATTGCTATATGAATGAATAATAGAAGGTGCCTATAATAAATTAAAATTACCTGAATCACACCAAATTCCGCATTGTTGCACTGCACTGCTAGGTCATTTGTTGACAACTGAATTTATGGCTAGGTCACCCAGATATTGACTCGAAATTTGATGGTTGTATTTTATTTAGAAATATTGACAGCAACCTACAAGATAATGTATCAATAGAAATTAAAAATACACAACTTTCCTCAAAAAACGGTGCATCCTACGGAAAAATTGAAGAGACCAATTTCATTTTGAATTGATGGCAGATTTCTAAAAAAAAAAAAAACATCAAAACGGGAAAAAGTCAGTGGCCTGCCAGTTTTTTTATTAAAAAAGATTGTGGCATTCTCATACGAACGTCACTGGTGTAAGTAGAAATATTCAGATCACCACAAAAAATGCACATTTATCTCTCCAGTGTTTTTTCAAATTTCGAGTCAATATCTTTAAAACTCTAAAATAATCAATAAAAATAAATAAAAAATTAAATTCTATTTTCAATAGACTTTTATTATATCTTATACCTCCTCGTTCAAGGTATAAGCCAAATCATTAATCCATTTTAATCACAATTCTATGGTGAGAGCTGCTGAAATCAGTAAATAAATACAAGTCCAAATTTCTTCTAAAATTGTTCATTTAATTTGGTTTGTAGTAATAGCATCTTATAATTTAGACACACATCTGTATCTATTGAAATAAAAGAAAAGAGTTTCATATGCGAGAAATAAATAATTTTCTTTACAATTTATTTTTATAAAGGCAAGATTTAGTTTCATCGAAAATACATTGCATATGTGGCTACATTTTGTTTTGGAAACATAATAATGTAGAAAATCAAACAAAATAAGTTGTAGCTAATCCATAAAAACTAAGCATGTAATACGGTGTTCTTTGTCGGTCTAAATCGATCAAAGGAAAGTCAAATAGTACGCACAAAAAGTTTTGACAAAAAAAAACTTTTACCTAAGTTCAATACTATCAAAGTAGACGCTTTTTCTGCGTACATTTTCTCCTGATCTGCATGCCCAACGAATATTCCACTGTACACACAGACTTTTTTTAACTAAACCATGTTACCATGAAATTTGAAAACTATTGTTACGTAATGTAATGTATTTTCAAATACATGCTTCATTTGCATTCGTATATATAGGCAGGGTCCCACATTGTTCGGTATCAGTGTTCACCTGTCATCAAAAACAACGACAACAAACACCATGAAAACCGTACGTATATATTTTATAGAATTGTTTTGCATACGTGCTGAAAAATATTAAAAAGTATAGTAAAATCGTGAATCAGAGTACAATATTTTGTTTTAAAATATTGACAACTTAATTCAAATGATGCTTATACAAAATATGTGTATGTTCAAATGGACAATAAAAAGACGAGTGATCAACAATCTAAGATGGTATACCTACTCTTCATTAAAGTGTTTATTTATAAATACTTTTCTGAAATTCCAGTCGTATTATATTTGTTGTAAAAAGCACAGACATTGTTTAAAAGACTATTATTGTTTCGTTAGTAAATAGTTATTACTTTTGGGCGGTAATCCAATGTATTATTTAATAATTTGTAAAAAAAACCACCTCAGTTGCTAGCAATATTTTCAGCTTAATAGTATTACATCCAAAAGGAACTTAATCATAAGAAAGAAACTCAGGATTTGTTTTATACTTTTTGTGTTACAAATGATATATTTATTTTGTACAGTTTGTATTGATTTATTCAAATTTTTGATACCAAGATTCCAAACTCGTGATCCGAATTCAAATTTACGAACTTAAAAACATATTTAAGATCATAAGTCATTATTTTGACAAAGCCAAGTTTCTGCACACAAAATATTGATAGGATCTTCAATCAAGTTAGGCTGAAATAATATTCTTAAATTTCTAATTTCTTTGCATCTAGTCATAGGCTATTGATTATAGGATTTTAAAAGGAACTGAGACGTTCAAGATATTTTATTACATGAATCGTTCAAATGGTCATTTTAGATGAAAAAACTACGGAGTGCTATTAAATTAGAGGGTTGAAATTGGAAATAGGGGTGAAAATGCACTTTTGAAGTTTTTGAAATTTAGCATGAAAACGAAACAAAATTTCGGTATAATTCATAGGAAAAATTTTGTAGGGAATTGAATTTCCCATCGAAATGGCTTATTTAAAAAATCTAAAAGAATAATTTTATGCAAAAAATCGTTAACAAACAATTTTAAAAAAGCAAAAAAAAGATTTTTTGATTTTTTTTACTTTTTTGACTCTAATTTATGTTAAAAACGACGAAAATCTAAAAAATATTTAAGTTTGACCGGTCAATATTAGTCCAAAAATATTTGAAAACGCATCATTTTGAAGGGAATCTCATCTAGTTTTTTTGTACAGAAATTTTCTTTGTCTAAAAATTAGTCAAAAAAGTAAAAAAAATCAAAAAAATCAAATTTTTTTACTTCTTTTAAAATTGTTTTTTAACGATTTTTTATATAAAATATTTCTTTTAAATTTTTTAAATAAGCCATTTCGATGGGAAATTCAATTCTCTACAAAATTTTTCCTATGAACTATACCGAAATTTTGCTTCGTTTTCGTGCCTATACTATGTGCCTATATTTACTCAAAAAAAAAAAAAAAACTAGAGGCAAAAAAGTAAAGAAAGAATCAAAAAATCAAATTTTTTGCTTATTTTCAAATGGTTTATTAACGATTTTTTGCATAAAATTTTCCTTTTAAATTTTTTAAATAAGCCATTTCTATGGGAAATTCAATTTTCTAAATAATTTTTCCTATGAACTTTAGCGAAATTTTGCTTCGTTTTTGAACTAGGTACAATTAAAACACTGAAAGGGTGCATTTTCACCCCTATCTCCAATTTCCACCCTTTAATTTAGTAGCACTCCGCGGTTTTTTTTATCTGAAATGACCCTTTGAACGATTCATACAATTAAATTGCTTGAACGTCATAGTTCCTTTGAACCCTGTTTTTTGGATATAATTAATAGCCTATCAGTGGAGTCTCACTCATTGTACACATAAAACGTGCAAATGTTTTGCATTTAATGTACGCTATTACATTACATTTATTTATAAAATATAATTTATTTTTAATAGACCAATAATTACCAATCTCAAATAATCATTATACTTATTAATATTTCTAAATAGTTTGAAATGCCTAATACGACAATATCGGGTAAATAATTCATGAAAATAAAACATTGAAAGGGGCCCAAAGTAGAACCCTGAGGTATCCCATACCGTTCCAAGAAGCAACTTGAAATTTCCATATACAGCTTTGATAATATAATATCATCAAACATCTTGGCCAAGTCTGTACACTTGAAATCCATTATCGAAGTCAGCCCAAATTTAAATACCTTTGCAGCATAAATCAGCACTACAACTGGTCTATATTGTTCGCTTAAGCTTTAGCTTCTTTTTTCTCTATGGGGAAATAATGTATAAACAATAGAGGACATAAAAGAAATTATTTTCAAACTTTAAAATTATAGCAACAATTTTTTATGTTATTTGGATTATTATTAATTTTAATGTGCATTAGATCCTGATTTTCGCCGCCGTCATCGTTGGTATAGCCATCGCAGACCATCATGGTCACGTAAGTAGCAATCACTATAAAATTAAACGCCTCGACTTGATGATGACTTCTTCAGGACAACGCTCACTACAAATTTGAATACGGCGTCCACGACCCCCACACCCACGACAAGAAGTCCCAGTACGAACACAGAGACGGCCACCACGTCCACGGAGGTTACGAACTTAAAGAGCCCGATGGCACTCATCGCGTTGTTAAGTACATCTCCGGACCCCACAAGGGATTCGAAGCCATTGTGGAGCGTCATGGACATGCCCATCACCCTGGACACAAGCACGGACCTGGTGGAACCAGCTACGTAGGTGTGACCCACTGGGGCAACCAAGGGGACGATGACGAGGATGAGCACGAACACTGAACAGAGGAAGTACCTGATTTTTTCACAATAATGTTTTGTACAAGTTTTTACTGAACCAAATATACTCCATAAACAGTATTCCGATGTATTTAATTAAAAATCGACAATGAAAGGTAAAATACTACTATGAATTTATGAAATGAAGAGCCAAATTTATGTGTTAAGTATTGAAAAGAGCTTAAGTTTTTAACCTGCACACAGAAATGCTCTCAGCGTCATATAGGTAACTTTTAAAATTCCTTTTTGAAATCCAGATAACGATTTAATAATAAAAAATAATTGAAAAAATAATAATAAATAGTACTGTATAATTAATCTTATTCCTTAATTTATTTTTGGGGGTGCATAGTGTCTTCTTCTTCTTCCCTAGTGGTTGGTCCAGATGAGTCCCATGGCACCACGGCCTAATTGGGCCTATTGTTTATCCCACTGCTAGTCCTACCCAGCAAGTAGTTTTGTCCTTTTAACAAAGTCCAAACGCTTCCTTGCTGACACTTCTCTCAGTTCCTTGGGTTCCTTATAGGGTCTCCCTAGGAACGTCATTCTACTACGTGTGAATCCCGGGCACTCGCCCAGGATATGCAGAGAAGTTTCATCCGCCGGCGGACTGTCTACGAACTTTAGCTTATGTAGATGTTACCTAAAGTGACAGTGTCCCGTTATGAGTCCCGTCACTCTCCTGAGCCGGATTTTATACAAGCTCATTAAATCGATTGCTCTTTCCTTCGAGGATACTCCATGAGCTCCTTAGAATGGCTATGTCCTAGCCTTGAAGTCCAGTATTTCCTATGTTATGTCTCGGTCAATTTGCCTAGAGCCCGCCTGACTACACTAGGATATGGACCACAGAAGGGCTCCGGACCAATGAACTCTGTCTCGGATCCCTTCCTAGCAAGTTCATCCGCTTTCTCGTTCCCACAAATGCCTTTGTGCCCTGACACCCAACACAATCTAACTGTATTATTGGTGGCTAGTTCAGTCAGCATTTGTAAACAATCCCACACAAGTTTTGAACGTACATTTTCTGCCAGGTACGCCATTATCGCGAAAATTTCTGCCTGCAATACGGTAGGAAACGCCCCCAGACTATAGCTTACACTCCATCTGAGTCCATATATAGCTGCACCCGTACCTCTGGCCATTTTGGAGCCATCCGTAAACCATACTAGGCTCCATCTTTCTAGGGTATCAAACTTTTCCTCCCATTTACTTTGATCCTCTATCCAAGTCTCAAATGGCTTATAGAAGTGGAACCTTGGAACCATCCTGTCAAATACCATCCCAAGAGTTGGTTCCGACATAGATGTGTCCATTATCCTGAAATAGGAACTACTCATCCAGTCGTTGTTATTCCTGAGTCGACATGCTGCTAGCCGCGCTTCTCTTTCCACCACTATATGCAGCGGCGGTAGATTTAGCATGACTTCTAGCGCAGCTGTCGGGGTCGATGCTATCGCCCCCGTTATACTTAAGCAGGCCAGTCTTTGAAATCTATTCAGTTTTTCCCTCGCTGTGGTCTGTTGTGTTTTTTACCACAGGAATCCTAGGTCTTAATATCGATGTATATATCCAGTATGACATCTTTGGCTTCAGCCCCCAGGTGCTTCCAATAAGGCGTCGGCATACACACAATGTCTGCTTCGCCTTACTCACCTCTTTTTCCAAGTGTGCATTCCAGGTAAGCTTACCATCCAGTATCACTCCTAGATATTTTACTTCCCTGGAAAACCGAATGAACCTCTCCCCTATTAGGTTCAGAGAGTCCAGTCAAATTTCTTCTCCTGGTGAGGGGTACTACGACCGTTTTGTCAGGGTTTACTGACAGTGCCTTACATAGTGTCTTAGCCTTGCAAAGATCCTTCGACTATACCTGCGACCTCTTGGATTAATGTACAACTCTCCAATGGACACATACAGACAACCATGGTACAGATCTACTCCAGCGGGATCTGAACCAATGTCTGAGTACTTACATCGATTCAGTCTAATTCTTGAGTTGCTCCTATTACTGCGTTACTATATTTTAGAATATATCTTCTAATATAATCCTTTTAATGACACTGCTTTATACTGCTTACTTATACTGCTTACTTATACTGCTTTATACAGCTTAACCGCTTTCTTATACTGCTTTATACTGCTTTAAACTGATTTATACTGGTTTAAATTTTACCATAAAGACCTATTTTTTTTATTCCAGTAAAAACATATTTCACATAGAAAGTCGCAAAATTACCTACCGTATTACACCGTCTTGTAAACTGATCTAAGAACTAAAATAATGTAATACAGCGAAGTGGTGACATATTCTGCCATTCTTGTTTCATCGAATTAACCTTGGCTATATTGTTTTTGCCAGTCTACCATATTGACGTATCATATCAGGTGTAAAGTCAAGTTGCATATTGGTCTAAAGTGATTGAACGGCAATCCCTGCCAAAGGCACGATTCATACAGAGCCAGATATCATCACGTATAATTGTTTTCATTTCGTGCGTATCATTAGCGACTTAATTGTATTACCACTCAATTCAATGTCCGAAGTCAATATATGAGATTCACAAACTAAACGCAGTGCTTTAATAAAATAGAATGAAATACTTTTTATTATAAACTTGAAATTATTTTAAAAATTAATATAAATCTATCAATATAGTAAGCATTTTTTTTATTTTTTATAATGGAGATTTTATAAAACATAATGCATACATATATAATAAACATAAGAGCCAAATTAACGGCCCTTTTGGTTAACTCTTTTGGATTTGCTGCAGAATCCTTCTCGTCCAACAACTGTTTCACTGTGAGGTAGGCCAACAGTCTTTCTAGGGAAGTTATAGGTCTTTCCGTGGCCGATCTTATTATTATAGGACCTTAGGGGCCCCAATAGTCAATGGCAGTCGGGAATATATGTTCTAAAAAACAGGAGCACCTTTTTGTTAATATCGTGGACAGCAAAGCTATGAAACACGAATGTTACAACGTGTACAAAATGGGATCAAACTTAGGAGCACTTACGATTTATTTTATACATAAATGATTTAACTGGTGTAATAAATTGTAATAAAACTCTCCAACATTGTTAAATCGTTTGTACCTCCACATCTTCCGGCAACGACCATCATAAGTCCAGCAATAAAAAGCAAAAACAAGAGACTCAAGAGAGGTCCAAGATTTGACCCATGCGGAACTCCCGATACAGGTAAGAAGGACCGAGACACAAACTAAAAAGTTGTACCAAAGATGAGGAGACGCCAAAAATCTTTCAATAAATTATGACTAATGATGTCAAAGGCCTTGGAGAAATCTGTGTACACCACATCAGTCTGGCCCTTAGAATAAAGTGCTTCACATATATCTTGGGTAATTAATGCCAAATTAGTTACAGATGAACGTTTTTTCAGGAATCCATGTTGGTACGGAGATTCATATATGCAGGTATGCACAGAGATCTCCAAAACCTTAACAAAATTTGGGAGAATTGAAATAGGTTATAGGCAAAAGTTCGGTTATTTTTTGAACAGATCCCGTACTTCAAAAAGTTAAGTATAAGAACTTTCAAGTAACAAACGATTCAAATTGTGTACAGACGGAGAAATGTACGAAAAATATTAATTGTGTTCAATTATAACATAGTGTGGGTACACATGCCGCAAGTGACCCATTTTTAAGCATTACGTCAACAGCGCCAGCAGGACGCCGCCTGCGTTCCAGGAAGGGTCTACGGCTGGCTGGCGCCGGCCACCAGATGCGTACTGATTTACCTACGACCGACTCCATAGACAGGGAGTCTCCAACGAACACTCACCCCGTCAATACGTTTTCTATACAACTTAGTTTTCAATAAAATACTTTATTATTACCGTTAAGAGAGCGTTTTATTCTTGCTGTACAGCGAAAGCAACCCTCAATAGATAACGGTTGACATATATGGCCTCTGAATAGACCAATTTTTTCCTGTTTTTCACATGTCTAACAATTTTTAACATGCCTCTATTTCATATAATGCTAAAATTACATTGTACATTATGCCCACTCAAGGAAAACTGCCTACTTAGTTTAAATTTTATAACAGCAAAAACAACATTTTATTGCAATATTTAAAACTCTTGTGAAACAAAGTCAAAATGTCTTCGCATCATTCATAAGGAGAATCTGTTACTCAATATATTCTTATTAATGATATGTTTATTTTTCATACTATTAGCTATAATATTAAAGTTATTATAAATATTTGTAGCAAATTTCACATACAATCATATTTTAAACAAATATATATTTTTCATTGATTGAATGACGCTGACAAAAATTTGTTATAGTTTAATATAGTTCTCATAATAAATTTTGAATAAAAGTGCATGAAATGAAACAAATTATAGACAGTAAAAAAAAACGTCTAAAGAAATTATTTATTTAGCAGTTCATTAAAGCTTATAATAAATACATTTTTGACGGTTCTGGATTAGATATTTTACTATTTGTAAAATTATTAATACTACATTTAGTGTTTCATACATATATTTTGTCTATATCGTATTTTATATTGGGTTATGTTAAAAGTAATGTACACTTTCCATAACTTTTAAGAATCAGTGTCCGTAGTGCTTATGACCACCATCGTGTCCATGGCCGTGGTCGTGGTTCTTTCCCTAGAAAATAGCGAATTAAATCTTCTAGTATTATGTTTACTTCAAAAGTGGAATTGATAAGTAAAAATTATTATGAGAATATAAAACTACTTTTGATATACTTTTACTAGATTTTTACTTTTTGACTTACATGTCCATCACTGTGCCCATGCCCTCCTGCTAAGACAAACGAAACCATTGATAGCAAAAGAAAGAGAGCCTATAAAATATAACACCTTAATTAACACTAGGTAATAGTAAACCATAAACAAACACCATACTTGCATACTCAAAATTTGAATAAGTTCTTCCAATTTTGTAAACTCTGATCGTACAAACGTGTCATCAAATGTTAAACTATTGCAACATAAAATGACACTGACAAATTTACTAATTTTAAATTTGGAACATGACATACTCTGATTTTAAATTTTTAAAATTTGTAATTATTACGCTAGGTATATTGAAAACAAATGAAAATCGCATAACAACACTTGATTTTCTCCCCCGTATATTATTTGCATTTTCTCTACATTGTATTTTAATTCTATTTTAATTAATTTATCCGACATTGTAAGAGGAGAAAAAATTGACGATATTGTAGATTTTTTCCACGCTTTAAAAAAGATAAGTTTAATTTTACCTCATAGATATATTATCTTTCCCACTATTTTATTCAGGATATTTTCAGTGGCTTCAGAAAATTGTTCCTTAGATCATTATAAAGTAAATAGACTAATGAATAAAGGTTCTCATATCACTAGTTTTGGAAATATAAGATGTTGAAATAAAAAAATATGAGATCCATAGAAATATCTTGAAATATCTACTAATTATTAACAAATAAACGAAACTTAAGCTAACGACTTAACAAATTAAATACTAAGCGGTATTTGCTTCTGATACCGAAAGATATTATCAAGAATTTTGGAATTTCGACTCCGAACATTTTATAAATTTGCTAAGTGCATAATATAATAGTATTTTTAAGAAAAAACCTTATTTTAATCGACAACGGTTCATTTGTCGAATAAATTGAAAGAATTTCTCCTTAGAAATATTACGTAATATAAATATAATTCCATGCACTTATCCAAAACACTCGCTGGCGTAAAAATTCCAGGGCATTTTTGACGGTTTCTCAATATTTCCGTCACTGGTTATCAATTTGTCATTGTCATAAGTCAACAATTCAATGGATGTTTACTTTTAATTAGATATGTCATTAATTCAAATTTTAAATTAAAAATAGAAGTATTTGAATAAACGTGTCAAAGACAGTCTCTGTCTGGAAAGGCAGTGTATTTAGATTTCGTTTGTTAAGAACCTGCTCAACTTATGACAGACATAAAGAACTAAATTAACTAAATAGACCAGGGCGGATCTGTTTTGAGGTGGATGTGAGAGGGGGCAAGCAAATTTTTTTTGGAATACCTTGAGTACAACTCACATAATAAAAGTGTAAATCCCTAGATCTGGGCGAGGTTCGGAACATTTTCAAAATTGTGAAAATTTTTGAATTTTTATAAAATACCTATTATATAGTTTTTTACTTATATCTTGGAACCTATATGTTTTGGAAGAATATTGAATTTATTGCCGATGTTGAAAAATAATAATAATTGATGGAAAAAAGGCAAAATACGATAATTGGATTGGATAATTTTTTTAAAATATTTGAAATACTTCGAGGGTATTCTAATTTTGTTAAAAGAAACTTCAGAGTATAATAAAACAACACATCAAATTTCATTAAAATCGGTTCAATAGTTTTCGCAAAATAATTTTTTTAAAAAAATTTTGAAAAAAGATTTTAGAATTTTCAAAATATTGCACAGCCTCAAATAAAGCATCTAGATACTTGAAAATTCAAATATCGTAATGCCAACTGTCTAGTTTGCACATATTTTGTTATAAACAAAGTTTATTATTTATGCATTAAAGATACTGTATATTTTACCCTATGCTATTACATTTTTTCAATGAAAAAATTTGTTTGCGTAAGTATATATTTCAACACTGAATATGAATATATTTAGTTATAATTATTACAATTATTTAAATAATTTTTGTTTAAACAATTTTTTTTTCTATTTGGAAATTAATTTTTTTGTTAAATACAAAGAAAATTAAGAAAAAAATTTCATGTTAGTTAAGTGCAAAAAGTCCATATTTTTTTAGTTATAAGTAGCACTATATTTTTGAAAATATAAGTGAAGTTGAAAAAATCTGAATTGAAAATTATGATTATTTCGAGTTTATTGGGAATTAATTAATTAAATAAAGTTAAATTATTATTAATTATAATTATAAAGTTAAATTGTTAAGTTAATTAAAATTGTTCACACATTTACGTTTGACATAAATTTAAAAATATAATTATTTAAATAATTGTAATAATTATAACTAAATAGTATATTCATATTCAGAGTGTTGAAATATATACGTAAACAAATTTTTTCATCGAAAAAAATGCAATAGCATAGGGTAAAATACAGTATATTTAATGCATAAATAATATACTTTATTTATAACAAAATATGTGCAAATTAGATAGTTGATATTACGATATTCAAATTCCTTGGCTCGCGAGACATCGGATTAAAAAAAAGATCGAAATTGGTCCATTAGAAGCCGAGATAATGCAATTTTTTTCGTACCTCCGCATTTTGAACCTCCGTATTCAGTCTCGGAGCGAAAGACCCCTCCTCCACTTTTCGTGTTTTGAGTCACTTTTCGCGCGTGCGAGCGACAGCTTTTCTGTTGATTTATCTATGTTGCCGATAACTTATGGATTTGAAAATTTTTTCCAACTTAGAACTGGGAAAAACGAAGCCACTGGATCAAAGATTATTGCTAAATTGTTTATAAATTGACGGTAAATGCCGATAAACATTGACCGCTTATATCTCGAGAACCAATAAACAAAATTTAACTTATTTAAAAAAAAGAAGCGCCTTTCCGAGTACTTTAAAATTATAATTTTCGAAAAAAACTAAATTGCAAATTGATAAATTTAATCTAATTGTTTAAAAATAAAAAAGAAGAGTTAACTTTAAAAATTTACTTTGGCCGTCCTAATCAACCGATTTCAATTTTTCAAAAACCATTTGAAAGTGTGATCGGTCTTTTCTATGTGAAAAAATTTTCAAGTATCTAGATTCTTTATTTGGGACTGTGAAACATTTTAAAAATTCGAAAAATTTTTTTCAATTAGTTTGCGAAAACTATAGAACCGATTTTAAAGAAATTTAGTGTATTGTTTTATTATACTTTAAAGTTTATTTTCACCAAAATTAGAATGCCCTCGGAGAAATTAAAATATTTTTAAAAAATTATCGAAAAAATTTAAATATTTTGCCTTTTTTTCATCAATTATTGCTATTTTGCATCATCGCTAATAAATTTAAACATTTTTAACTTATAGTGTATTGTGCAAAATTCAATTCTAAAACTTTTTTTCTCTTCAATATTCTTCCAAAATGCATAGGTTCCAAGATATAAGTAAGAAACTCAAATAAAATAGGTTATTTTTTTAAATTTTGTAAACATTTTTGCAATTTTGAAAATTTTCCCGACCTCGCCCAGAGCTAGGGATCTACACTTTTATTATGTGAATTGTACTGAAGGTATTCCAGAAAAAATTAACTTGCCCCCTCTTACATCCAGAAAGTGGGATATTTCGACAGATTCGCCCTGGTCTAAAATAAAATGTTCAAGCAACTAAAACTTTTGAAAATTTTAAACACAACACGCCTTAAAATTTAAATATTCACTATATTCACCAAAAATCACTTCTGTTAAAATAAAATGTTTGATAAGGTAATAGAAATAATTATAAATTTAAAATAAAACGTACGATTTTAAAATTCATTTTGATTTTCTTCAGAGATGAGACGTAACTGAGACAGCAATGCATTTTCTTTACTTTTATATTTATTAAGTCGATATAAAAAGTCTTTTAAAGGGGGTTAATTAATAAAAGTTAATGAAATATTTCCTTGATTTGAAAATTTATGGTTGAATTGTTATTAGGGTTATCAGGAAATTTATTTTCAGACATTTGTTATGCTCTTAGTATTGAAATTAATTTACATTATCATCAGAGTTTAATCAAGGAAAGCAAAAAGTATTTTCTTAATTTCATTCAAATAATGTTATGAATTGTTTACCTGAAAATTAGAATTAATAAAAAAACAAATAAATATTTAAAAATGTATTTCTAAAAATATCAAAAACAATAAATTAATGTTTTCAATAAACAATTTAAATTAATTTAATAAAATAAATAACAATGAAGTGCCTAGATCTTCTTCCGGGCGTTAACAGTATTCTCCGTGGCCGAGTTCCAAACAACCAAATTTCGACCCACTTTTGAATCCTGTCCGATCTCCTAAACTTCCAAATTTAGCGAACTTTCCAAAACCATTCCTTCTATAAAAATCATCGTATCCTTTGTATTCCTCATACATTTTATTTCCAAACGGCCATTTAAATTCAATTTCTTTTTCAGAATCTTCGTAGCTCGCATTATCTTTACCGTCGCTTTCCTCACTGCTGTCATCGTTTATTTCTTCATTGTCGTTTTCATTATTAATTTCCTCTTTCTCTCCACTATCTTCATCGTTTTCTTCTGCTTCCACTTCTTTCACATTCTCCGACTTATTGACTTTAGCACTATCATCCTCTTCTTCGTTACTAGCTTCCTCTAAATTTTCTTCACGGTATTCTCCACGTTCGTCGTTTTCTGCATTATCTATTTCACCGTCGTTGTTTTCCTTTTCATCTTTCTGAGCTGCTCTGTAACTGTCGTACTTTGAAACGTCATCGAGTTTTCGCTGGTCACTTCGAAACCTACCGTTTGCGTTTTCTTCTTCATTTTCGCTCATATAGGATCCTAGTCTAGAGTTATCATTTTGTTCCTCCTGTTCGTCACTAACACTGGAACCAGTCCCTTTTGGTTGTAAGTCGTTAAAGTAGCCCTGAAACGTAAAACTGGTATAATTCCATTAAAAGATTGACGGTGGTCTTTCTTACACTTCCGCGCCCCTGGAACCTTTTCGGGTGTACAACTAGGGACGTGCCACTGCTTGCGAGTATCACTACAAAAAGTATCTAAAAATCACTAATGTCACAAATACACTGTTGAAATGATGTATTTACTTACAGTTGAAACCAGCATATTGTGTTGTGCTGTTGCGAACAGGAATGACAATAAAAATATAAATTTGGTATATGGCTTATATACGGTAGTTAATGAAGTATGCATAAAATAGAAAAAAGCGCGTTAATATTATTTCACGGTTGGGTAAACTCTGATTTCCTATAAAAGTGATATGTATCTAATTACTGAAGCAATACTTATTAGAAAGTATCAGGACAGCTAAATTGTGATTGTTTCGACAGAATCCCTCAAGTACATTGGATACGAATTTCACTTCAATATAAATTAAAAGTGCGAAAAAATGTTCAATACGGACACTACGATGCCATGACCAATCGATCACCACAGTAATGTCCTTAAGAAGATAAAAGTTCTAATAATTCGCTTGTATAGCCGCCATAAAAGTGCTCACGTAAGAATTAATCTTCAGAAAAAGTGAACTGTTCTTCTGTTTGTCATATTATTAATAAATTTCATTGTTTTAGATGATGTTTATATAATAGTAATGTTTACTTTTTGTTTCGTTTTTGTTACTGGACAAAGTATTTCCAATGATTAATACAATACTAAGAATTCCTCACCACTTCACTGAGACTATAACTACATATTTTAATATAAATATCTTAACATAAAAAAATAACTAAACCGTACCACAGATATTAAATACAATGTATAAATTATAATTATAATTTTACCTATTTTAAAAAATATTTCCAGATTTGTAACCAGTAAACTGATCAGTAACTAAAAAATAAATGTTAGTTTCGTTTCGTTTATACCTAACTAAGAATTTAATTCATAATAATTAATGAATTAAAATTCTTTCTATCTTTCTATTCTTTGAGAGACTATTTCCATTACAGAAGCCACAAATAAAATTCATAGGTATCGGCATATTCACGGTTAGTAAAAGTTCATGGCTGTAAAAAAATCGAATGAAATGCAAAGTCAAGCACAAAGATCACAACTAAGAAAATAAAGAAATGTAGGAATTTAATTGATAACACGCGAAAGTGACAATCATTAGTATCATTACAATGAAACTGTCACCATGAAAGATGCGTACTATGTGAAAATGTTACAAAAAGTTACTGTTCTGAGCCATAATTATTTAAAAAATAATTATTTCTGACTAAACTACGCAGAATTCGAAAAAAAAAGTAGGGAATTTTTTCCTTAAAAAAAAGTCTAATTCATTAAAAATGATATTATTAGCTTGATAATTCAAATGAATAAAAAAATGCGAAAAATTTCTGTTAAGGGTAGAAAACTATTCTTATTTAAGATCCTTACGGTGTGATTATTACCTACAATTTTCATTCCATTATCTTAATCAGAAAGAAAGTTATTTTAAAAAATGTCCAAATGATAAGACCCCTTTGGAGAGCCATATCTCAGTAATGGTGATCCGTAGGACCAATATTTATAGAATGTTTTTTTACTATTTTTATCTCACTTTCACCTCCTCAAATTTTGTACAAACTTTTTCAAACACCCTCTATACTACTAATTTTATATTTTCAGGTAATTTACAGGCAGATATTAAACAAATTAAAAAAAAAATTTTCAATTTTTTAAAATCTAGATAAACAAAAGAAAATCTCAACAAGACTCCTAACTGCTGATATTCCGGCAAAATATACCCCAACACCTACTACCTGATATACTGAAATTATTAAATAATGCAATCAATTAAAAAATAATTTTTGATACCGAAGAACATGGTCCGATTTTTTTAAAAGTTGTTCGAATTGATTCTTGAACCTTTAAAATATAGTTTTAAAAATGCCAGAGCTAATAAAATATATATATTTTTAAATGAAATTTAATAAAATGGGCAAATATCTTTTAGATAGAACGACAAATATAAAATCTAGTCATGTTAAAGCTTTGGACACCTTGAAAATGTAATTTTTCCTAAAAGTTTGATGTTTATATTATATCATATTCTGTTAATATATGTTTATTTCATACGAGGGGGGAAGTCCCAAGTAAAATGTGGAAACAAGAAGATCTCTTTATAGCAGCTATTTTTTACTTCATCAGTCTTGTCAAGGGTGATAACAGAATAGCAAGAATACAGGGTTGAGCCTAGCCCATAGAGTAGTTGATTCCCACAATATCAACAGTTAGGAGTCTAGTTTCTGCAGTTAAATATCTTTGGCACACTTATATTTCTGGTATCGAAGAACATTGTTTGACTTAAGATTAAAAAACAAATTTTAAATATATTTACCTTTACCCCATTGACCGTTTCCTTAATTTTTTTAGCCCTTTTACTGAAGTTAGGTTTGACATGAGAGTTGTAGATTGGTAATTTGATAATACTTTATTGGTTGAATTTTGTTTACAAAGAGATTCAATAATTCCAATTTTAAAAGCTGATGGAAAATATTCTTGTTGTGTTATTTTATTTATTATTTCTACGAATGGAAATTTAATATAGTCCGAATTGACTTTCAGTGATTCTGATGTTACGAGATGATATCTAGAAGACTTATTTCCTTTTAAATATTATATGTAAGTCTGTACTTCATGGTGATCTATGCTATGAAAAAAATTTTTTTTTGATTAATAATCTATTCTTATTTCGAATTCTACAGGTTTCTTAATTTTTCTTGCCATATCTCAACCAATATTAAAATAATTTATACTAAAATGATTTACAATTTGCGATCTGTCCGTAATATTTAACTAATCAATTTTAATTTCATTTATGTCAGTATTTGTATGACTTTTACTATTAACAGTCATCCAAATCGATTTATTCAAAATTTATCGAAATGTTTCGAAATTAGATTAATAAAAGCCAGTCCGTATCATAATTTTACTTAACTTTAAGCTAACTCAAATCAAACCGAAATATATTCTAAAATTATATCCATTTATTTACAAAAACACTAACCTCATATATCTATAATCATTCTATGTATAATCGTTTTATTAATGTGACTGTTAATGATTGTTAACAAGCTCTAAATTAATATCTACACAAATTTGAAATAAAGCTAAATGCAATCCGTTACGGTGCAATTAGCAAAATGTATTGTTATTAGCCTATTAAATGCAATTATTTTATTTGATTTCACACCTTATTTACCATGCACAGTATACGGTAATTAATAATAGAAAGACCACCCGTGAAGTATAATTCAATTTAGCAATTCGACACCTACATTGTATTAAAATATAAATCGGATTTTTTCTTATTTATTCTAGATCAATTCTCAATCGTAGACTAGAACTGTAAGTAGTGAATAGAATCCATAACAGCTCTCCAAATATTCAAGAGATTGTCGATTATACTTAAAAAAAAAATCTCCTGCAAAATAATGGGGATAGTTCATACGACACGTTTCCAATATACAGGGTGTTTCTGGAATAAGTGGGTTCCTTGAAAAAGGTATAGACACGAAAATAAGCTACTATTATTAAGCAGCTGATGGTCTAATACATTACATTTTAAATTGAAAAAAAAAAAATATATGAGGATTATTTTAATTTGTTTGTTATTTATGGAAAATGTAACAAAGTAATTTCAAGAACATGTAGATAATCTGCTGTTTTTTTCCATAAATAACAAACTAATTAAAATAATCGTCATTAATTTAAACGATCCATATGCATTTTTACTTAAATTTTCGGCAAAAACTATTCAGACACAACAATAATTTGACAACTAACTTGACAAATGTCATGTTATTTAATTGTTTTTGGAGTATTTTAGGCCAATTTGACAATAGGTCTGATACGAGAATAACTGTCCAAAAAAATAGAAAATTGCAAATATCGCTAAAAGTAGTAACGGCAACCCTAACAATGCATATATGGCTTGAAAGGAAATTTTAATCTGCATACGACAGAGTAAAAAAATGCAGGGTGTTCCATTTAAGTTAACAAAGTTATCAAAATGTAACAGCATAAATGAAACACCTAGTATTATATGTTTTAATTTGTTGGTATACCATAATTTAGTGCTACTTATGCTCGTTTCAGGTACCAAAAATCTACTTGATAGCACGCTCCTGAAAAGAGTTACTAGCATCTCCGCGGACCCTTGCATCTGTCAAATTTTTTCTTTAAATATTAATATCTCAAATTCTATAAGTTCTAGATATAGGGAATATTTAATAAAGTGACCCTCTAATTTCACGTAAAATCCGCAAATACAATAATATATAGGGTGTCCCATTTAAAATAACGAAGTTGGTGTCGACTTCCTGTATAATCGGAAGTGCTGGAAAGTTCTAGATTGCCATGTTGCCAAATTTTCAAATTTCCTAGATATCGATCGACGCTGTTCCCGGTGGGACACCCTGTACAATATATAACGCACCAATTTTATATATAGGGGGAATGAAAACCATTTTTAATTTTTAGTTTATTTTTGACAACCATGAAGATTTTATTAATAAAGTGATCGACAAATTTTCAAAAACTCCGGGAAGATTATGTGTTGCCTAATTTTCGTTGAAATTCTTTATTTTTTTCGTTATTTATATATTTTATATTTTTCTTGTTTATTAAAAATATTTCTAAAAAAATTTATTCACTGTACCTATTTCTACCTATAATTTATATTTCTCCCATCCTCTCTCTTATCTTGCCACTCCTCTAGCCCATTGGATGGCGACGTTCTTGACTACCATGATTTGTTGAGTCCTGAAAGAGTCCCATGTATGATGTGGAAACAAGAAGACGTCTTAGTAACTAAATTTTATTTTTTTTCACGTGATTAGTCTTTGTTGATGGTAATAATCATTCAGGAAGAATACAGGATATCTTTTGAATGATTGCATTATTAACAAATTTCAATACATCAGGTATGCCTTTTTTATTTTTCGATACCTAAGAAATGTACTGGTATGTCTAAATATAATTAAGACATACCAGTACATTTCTTAGGTATCCAAAAACTGACATTATTTGATAAGATTTAACAAAATATTTTGAATTTGTTTGAATTAGCTTAGTATCTTTAAAATTTAGCAGATCTGTCTGAAACGTGTCTACTTTTCTTTTATTTTCAATGGTTTTTCTAAACAAAAATTGACATTTCTTTTTAATGTTTTTTTTTTGTTTCAACTTTTTTCAAGCTTATCACTACTATAATTTTTACATCCCAAACTTTGATTTTTATGAATAATAGAAAAATAAGTATAAAATAAATAATGCAGGGAATAATAAGATAACTTTTAACAATAACTGCATGTATTTGGTTACTACATACAACATTTAGAGTACAAAACAAAATAAAAATAAATAACAATTTCACTTGAAATAACAGTATTAAAAACAAAGCTTCTTCGGCGTACCAGAGCCCGCATCAATGCCCATGCCCTTCGTGCTTTCCGTGGTGCCCATGGTCTCCATGGTGCTCCTCTTTACCCTGGTTTCCCCAGTGGGTAATTCCAACATAGCTGGTGCCACCTTCCCCCTTTATATGGTGTTTGCCATAAACCGCAGGGTGTTTGGCATGTCCTTTCCTTTCTACGACGGCTTCAAATCCTGACTTAGGTCCTGAAATATATTTGACTATTCTGTGGGTACCATCGGGTTCACTCAAGCTGTATCCCCCTTTGACGTGTTTTCCTTCTCTGTGCTCGTGCTGTTCCTTCATGTCGTGCGAATGGGGGTCCTTGATGCCGTATTCGAATTTGTACTGTGCGTTGTCCTGAATAATTTAATAAAATGTATCATTTGAAAAACAATAAATTTACTTTGTGTAAAATTAAAATTTGTTAAACATATATCAGAAACGTAACTGATCTTTACAAAGCAATCTCGAAGTAATATTTTTGCTTAATGGCCTACAGGTTGTAGTTATTTATTAGTGACATACCAATTGAGGTTGAAAATGTGCACAAATATTACAAATTTTTTGTTCGAGTGAAGGTTTTAATGATAAACTGCTTCGTATAAATGAATGAAACAAGGAAGTTATTAGCCGTGAAATTAATTAACATTGGAAATCTATGTCGTCATTTTTTAGAAATTATCCCCAATTGTTCGTCTTTTTTTTTGAAACTACAAGAAATAAAGGTACAATTTCTTAGCAAAATTCCCACATTTTGTAAATTTTTCATTCAGTTTGTTGAGAGAAACACTTTATTTGGAAATTTATTGATTTAAAAATTAATTACGTAATTGCTGTAACATTAATATGAGAATTTACGCAAATAAACTATATATTATTTAACTATGTTGTATTGTATTTTTATGAACCACCTAGTGAATATGTACAAATAAAATATGAATTTTTAGAATAACCGCAGTAATTTTTCATTATACCGATATATTCCAGTGTAGCTTTCTTCATAAGAAAAATGTCACAATAAATCGGCCATCTTAGTTATTTTTGTTGCTTGTGCACCAAGATACCGGCAAGCAGCATATTGATTTGTGTCCATCTCAGCTTTTTATACGTTATATTTCGCTTAGGTAAAAAAGTAAATTGCTATCTAAACTTCTTAAATATTATATAGAGAATCGCATATTCTCTCATAAATATTGTCACAAAAAAAACACATTCAGCCATGAAAATAGTTAATGTAAGTTTTTGAAGAGTCATTATTCTCTAAAAATAATTAATGGGTATGTTTTTTTCTGTTACAGATTTGACAATATTCGGCGAAAAGAAAAAAATGAGTAATGCAAAAATCAACCAATGCAATATTTACTTAAATGATTTGTAAGGATGAAATTATTTGGGAACAAAACGTTATCCTGCTTATGTTTTTTTTATTTAAATCGACACTAGATTCACTAAATTTACAGTCAAAGTTTACTTGGAGAAGAGATAGTGATAAGTATGCTTAGGAGCTTTATGTCAATATACAGCTTTAAGTGAAATATGACGATGGAAATTTTCAATATAATGTTTAGTTTAGTATAATTTTCATTCACTTAATTCTTTTTTTACGTATATTTTATGGTCTTTTAATATTTTGGAAAATTTGTATGGCAACTTTCACAGTAATTTTTTTAGATTCCAGTAATTTTGCCCAATTCAGTAAAAAAACAAAATGTTTCGGAATTGCACCTATTCTTGACCGACAAATTACATTTTTTTTGTTTTGTATGGGTCCAACTGTTCCACTTTTCCTACTAATTTATAAAAAGTAAAAATATATGTACACTTACATGACCATGACCATGTCCATCATCGTGACCATCTGCCCAGACTGCTGCTATGATAGCAAAGCACACAAATAATACCTGAAAATAAAAAATTTTAATTAAAAAACAGATGAAAGTTGACAGAATTAATAATATAAATATACATATTAAAAAATCAAACTGATTAACAAGGAAAAATATAATTTTCCGTAAATATTTATATATTTACTATGAAATTTAAAAAAAACTAGGTCCTCGATTGATTCAATAAGTATAAAGCAGTATAGCCAATTTTTTTTATCAAGATATTAATAGTTATTTATGGTGCTAGTGTGTTACGGTATATAAGTCACGCTGGGAAATCCCAAGTGACTTATATGACGTAACACACGAGTGCCATACAAAATTTTATCCAACACTTTCATAGAATTACGTTTTAATAATAACCAAAAGTAACTTAAAATTTCAAGTCGTCAATGTCAGAAAAAGTAATTTAACGAAATGAATGTATTTTTAAATATTACAAAGGATGCGAGTGTCAACCTAAAGTGTGTCTGTAACCAAGGGTTTTCAGTAAACAAACAATATTTTTTTGTGTTGAAATCACGTTGAAATCCTAAAACTAAGACTGAAAAAATTTAAAAGGTGGAAATTCCATCTGAAATTTTAGAAAAAGCGAATGTGGCTACTGTAGGTATCATTCCGGAGAAATCAAAATCTATATACCTACAAGAAAGAACTGAAGGAATTTCAAGATTGGAAAATCAAAGAAGGGGTGAAAGGCGTAAATGAAGATGTCTTGCTGGTTTATTTTTTCAATTTAAGTGAGAAATTAGCTCCATCCACATTGTGGACAAAATATTCCATGTTGAAATCAACTTTGAGAGTGTACAAGAACATTGACATTTCTAAAGTCTAAGCACAAACATTTTCAACCAAAAAAAATCCAAGGTCTTAGAAAGAGAACAAATCGAACTATTTTTGCGTGAAGCCCTAGACGAAGATCATCTTATGAATAAGGTAGGTTCTACTGAATAGTTTATCTGAGTTATATTTATTAAATTTAGTGTTTTTAGGTGGCGTTGATATTAGGAGTTTTTGGCGCTCGCCGTTGCGAGGAATTGACCCATCTAAGCATAGACAATATAGAGGACAAAGGGCAGTATATCCACATCATGATTTCAAATACTAAAACGAACAAACCAAGAAGCTTCGATGATAAATGAAGGATTTTGTGTTAATCCAATTGAATTAATTAGAAAATATTCTAAGCTGAGGCCACAAAATGTGCAGCATAAACGGTTCTTTTGCAATTTTCAAAAGGGACAATGCACACGTCAATGTGTTGGTATTAATAAGCTATCAAAAATTCCTAATGTTGTTGCGCGATTTTTGGGCTTGACAGATTCTAATTTATATACAGGGCATGGCTTGCGTCGCGCATCTGCTACTCTCTTGGCAATGCTGGAGGGGATATTACAACACTCAATCGCCACGGTGGATGGAAGTCATCTACCGTGGCAGAAGGTTTTATAGAAGAGTCAACTTCCATCAAAATTGATATTGCTAAAAAGATACAAGGGGTGCAGACTCCTGAAGCAACCATAAGCAAAGGGGCAACCTGTACTATAAATTTACCACAATCACAAAATGATTCCAATGTTAATGTTAATATTAATAAGTAGGTAGAGTGTAAGTTTGTAGCATTTTAGGTTATTTGTTGACTTATTACTGTTTCAAATTGGTTTTCTAATAAAAACTAGAAAAATAAACCAAACGTTTGTCTTTTTATGATTTGTATAAGTCACTAGTGGGTTATAAGTCATAACTTACTAGTGACTTATAACTTATAACTAACACTAGTGACATAGGCCACATTATTCCTTTAAAACCAAAGAAATTATAGTATTATTATATACAAGTGTTGGATAAAATTATTTAATAGTACTATGAGTACGCATACATGCAAATCGAATTAAATAACAAGACATTAACGTTGAAGGCATCACGGGTGTTATAGGCGCATTATTATCCATATAACACCCTAGGTACATTAAGTATTGTATTACGAATTACTATTTCTAATAATTTTCATATTTAAATGTGATATCTTCTGTGTGTTTTTTTAAATAAATATGCCAAATATTTTAGGTACTTGTTTTTGAAATTTTGTTACTATTTAAGGATAAGCGAAAAAAGTCTTATACTTACACTGCTGAAATGCATGTTGCTGTTTGTTCACCACTCAGAAAACTGACACTATGTCCCCAACGGTCAAGTTTATATACAAAAATAAACGAGACATATGAAACAATTAAATAACAATAAATGAAATGTTAAAGTTACTTTCACGGTTCGCCTATTGCAGAAATTTTGTATGAAATTTTCTAATACAGCTGAAATACGGCTAGATCTAATTAGTAATTAGACTCAGTTACAGCCCTATGCTTAACGAAAAGAAATATGCGTATGGATTGGAGCAATATTAGGTGTCTTTCATAAGATGTATAAAATTCAAGGCGACCTTCATTGATTAATTTAACTTTTAATTCTGGCTATTTTCTCTTTAGAGAATGTAGAAAATTATAAATACGCGCTGCTGGTTAACGGAAAGCTCACAAATCCGTCTAGAAAACGTCGTGTAAGTTCCATGTTGCGGTTAAAAATATTTTTTCTATGTAACCGCGATTTTGTGATGCAGTACGTGTGGGAGCAATGAACTAAAATTATCATATAAACTGTTGTTACACGTTTTTACAACTTGTGTTTTTAATTTAGGAATGAAATAAAAAATCTAAAAATAAAAAATTATAGTACAGGGTGATTCACAAATGGTGAAACCACAGTATATGAATGAAAAGAATTAGAGTATGCAACAAATAATACTAATCTGTTATACAGGGTGATTCACAAATGGTGACCAAAAATGAAACCTGGTATTCTTTGGTGAATTTTAAGGGAGTCTTTCCTATAAAGTTTGTATCCAGGACGCTTCGTTAAAAAGATACAGGGTGTTAAACTTAAAAAAAATATTTTTAATTTTTTTAATTAATTTAAAAACTAGTAAGTGAAATAATTTGAAATTGGGCACGTGTATTTATGTAAACATTGTCCAAATTCCGAGGGCTTTTCCTAAACTTTATATGCTCCAGTGGCGGAGATACAGGGCATAAGTGGCATATTTTTCTAAATAAAATAGTACGCCACTGATTTACGGTAACAACAATCATCATATTTTCAGATTAGTCTTTCAATTTTCTACAAATTACTATTCTTTTATGTTTTTCCAAATGAGCCTGATTTTCAAGTAAAACTTAAAAAACCAACTGAAAACACTTTTACTGAATTGACATGACAAGCACTAATCATTCGGTTATTTATTCGAATAAAGAAATTAATAACATTAGTAATCATTTTAAATGATTTTATTTGAGTAAATGCTCAAAAATACCTCCATTTTCACGAACACGGGCTCGACATCTTTTTAGTAACGAAAATATTATTATATTCGAATATCGAAGTGTTTTCAGTTGTTTTTTAAGTTTTACTCGAAAATCAGTCTTTTTTCGAAAAACATAAGAGAATAGTAATTTGTAGAAAATTGAAAAACGAATCCGAAAATATAATGGCTATTACCGTAAAGCAGTGGCGTGCTATTTTATTTAAAAAAATATGGCAACGACACCCTGTATCTCCGCCACTGGAGCTTGTAAATTTTAGGAAGAGCCTTCAGATTTTGAACAATGTTTACATAAATACATGTGCCCAATTTCAAATTATTTCACTTACTAGTTTTTAAATTAATTAGAAAAATTTTAAATATTTTTTAAATAATAAGTTTAACACCCTGTATCTCTTTAACGAAGCATTCTATTTTTGGTCACTACTTGTGAATCATCCTGTATCATAGATTAGTATATGCTGTATTTACTTTTCATTCATATACTGTGATAATTCTATAAATATGACAATTTGCTAGGTGGGATACTTTATTTATTTGCTAAATGTGTCTATTATCTAACTGTAATAATTATTATTTCGGCAAAAACTGCATTATTAAGTACATTATTAATAATTAAATTAGATACTTAACGTAGACAAAATGTAAATATGTTACCGATATGCAGAGCGTTTATGAAAAAAGGAACAAATTTGTTTAAAATTCAGGTAATTATTTTGTGGAAAAACGCTCGGATATGTCGATTAGTATTTTTAGTTGCGGATTTCTTGACATAAGAAAATTGTATATAGGGTGTCCCAAGAAGAACATACGCAGTCATCACTGATTTTTTGTAATAGAACACCTTCTATGTATATTCTTCTCTGTAAAAACTTACTTATTTAAAGGGCAAACTATATGTTTAATTTTACACATTTTGTTTTATTTTACGTTATCATACTCTCGAAAACCGTATAAAGTTTGAATGTTAATAATTAAGTGTAAGGAAAAACATTCATCATGTATTTCCTGAGAAAAGTTTTAATAGGGTTCTTATTTATATGAAGACTTTTTCTGGATGAAATTTTACCCTAACTCTCAGTAATTGTCACTTCTTGAGAATAATAAACTGAAAACTAAATATAGTGTAAGTAAATAATAATAATAATAATTAAGTAGTGAAGTACAATCCGGATGTCTGCGTGTAACTGTTAAACGTTCAATATCGTTATTATTGATGTTTCTCATACTCTTCAATAACTTTAAATGAATATATACCTCAATATTTATTTATAACATTATGTTTAGATAGTCAAACCGGTGTGCTATATTATTACGCCACAAATGAATCTAAACATGCTTACTGAACAACTATAACAGTTCTCTACACATACTCTGTATTAAGTCATGTAAATTTACACCTTTATTTGTCTATTTACATCAAATATAGTTAAAACATTTAAAAATTAGGAGTAATACCTTTTAAAATGCAAAAGAACAACGTAAAAGGTAACAATACATCGCAAAAAGAAAATATATTCTGCACAATGTATCATCTGCTGTACTAATTTACAATTTTTGTATATAAAAACCATTACAAATATTTAAGAAACCTGTGTGAATTTCCACAATTTTTATCAGTGTAGTGAATTGCTTCTTGTGAAACACAAGGTTTAAATGTTGGGATTAAAGAACAAAGAAAATATAAGACAAGATGGATTTCTGATTCTTTCATTTTAATCATTTGTTTTTTTTTTAGGTAAATTAGAAAACATTCAAACAAAACATATTAATTTAATTACAAATGCTTAGCCACAAAGAGGTTCTGCAACCACAGAAAAGTAATTTTATATAAAATCTGTAATAGTAATATTGAAGGCCGACAGAGAGCATCTGTACTTAAATGTGAATTCAGCTGTAAACAATTATTAAGTGGTTAACGACATCCAAACATTGATCCAGGTATTTAGTGCTTTGTGGTAGACGTCCTTTCTATATTTTGCAACCAAATTCGGTGAAGATAATATAATTTCAAATTTTAAAATATTAAAAAACAAAAAGGTTACAAATAGTATTCTAATCTGATTTTTTTAACCAAATCGTGTTGTAATTCGTTTTTTAATCTACACCTAATGATGTTTTTTTGTATGGCTTTGCAGCATATTATTTTAAAGTCACTATAATTTTTTATGTCGATGCCGACGAAGCTCTGAAATTTAAAAAAGATTTAACTATTTAAAGTTCATTATTTCAATTTGTTAAATTTGTATTATATTTTAAAATAATTTAAGGTTTTTAGTAGTTTTTAAACAGTGTGTTAGTTTGTGATGCTCTTTGAAAATTTTCTCTGACACAGACCTAGTTTAGGTGAACTATACTATGGTCACTTTACACATTCCAATGAAGTAAACATCACGGATCACAGCCACGAAATGATAAAAAAAGTATTTTTCTCTGTCACAGACCTAATTTAGGTGAACTTTACTATGGTCACTTTACATATTCCAATGAAGTAAACATCACGAATCACAGCCACAGAATGATCAAAAAAGTAAACAGAGACGTATTTAGGAAAGTTGAAACAAGTACTATTAAAATCTTATATAATTCCAAACAACTCTTTTTTCTCATTCAAAACAAAGTAAACAACAGAGAACAGCATCAAAATTAAGGTAGTAATTGAAAATATCGCATGAAGTCCGGTTTTATATTAGGGCTTGTCTTTGGGGAAGACTGCCGTTAATCAGTTTCGACCAATAGTTTTGCAACAACACGTGCTCGATCAATGTTTACACGATTGAAATATGCAAGTTGACTTTACAGGTGACATGATATACTAAATGTGCAAAAAACAAACGGCCAATATTAATTTCGGGCATAAAGGATTCTTTTCGTCCTAGATTTGTTAGGCGCATATATTATAAAGCTATTTACCTACCTACATTCTCTATTCACCCTTTAATTTTGACCAAATGTGTCTTGGTGTAGTATAAGTCTTATTTCTTGTAAGTCTTATTTGATCTGTAAATGTAACATTGCTATGTATCTTCCATTTTTCTCTTTAATTTGCATGACAGAGACTGATTAGTTATTGCCAGTATTCTAATCTTTAATTGATCCACTTAACTATTTTAAGTTACACTCAAAAATCTTCCTGACAATTTATCTACAGTGCAAATTGTTAACAGAAATATAGTAGATTGTGTGGTTGCTTTTCTAACTGATCGTTGAAATTTTCTATTAGTCACCCAATGAGAAAATGATGGTTGAAGAACTCTTACAGAGACGTTGTTCTGGTTAATATAACGTTAAAGGATCAAAACATAACGTTTAAATTCCACGAATTTTTAACCAAATATTAAAAAAAACGTAGTATATTGGACGTAGCCGCGGCGTGATCATAACAATAGACAGAGACGCATTTAAGAAAATTACAACCAGCACTATTAAAAAGTTATAAACTTCTAAAGAAAATATTACATGTTTTTACTTTTTTTTCTTATTCAGTCACTTTGAGAGTTGAATCGGTACTAGACATCTCAAATTAATTCAGCAGCATAAAACATCAACAATATTAAGCCGCAAAGGATATGTACGATATGAAAACTGTTATACAATGTACAGTCCTGTTCTGTATGAAAACGTGTTTTTGGCGGATTTTGACCAATAGTTTCGTATGCTTGATCATCACGATTGGCTAGTTGATTTTATACGTGACGTGATATGTTAACAGTGGTAAACGACCAATAAATAAACGGCTAACGTAAATTCGATGAAACAAGAATGACCACCACTTCATTTTATAACGTTTGTTTTAGTTTTCGGTTTATCAGTTACGAGAAGGTACACTGTAAAAAAATGATGTGAGTGAAAGCAATAAATAAATAAATAAATAAATAAATAAATAAATAAATAAATAAATAAATAAATAAATATTCAAACTAAAACTGAGTATTTTCACTCAAATATACAGGGTGTTCCACCGAAGAGGGATTCTTCTGTAGCTCTGCAACTGTAAAATTTATAAAAAAAGGCTTTAATAAAAGTTGCCTGGAATTATGTGGGCCAAGTAAAGAAAATATTTTTAACTTTACAGGGTGTTCCATTTCAAATTCATGGAATATCCTGTATATTATTGCATTTTTGAATTCCTTGGTTAATATTAGGTAGAGTTTATTACATGTACATGGTATTTAAAACTTACCGTTTTCGAGATAATCAGTTGTTTTTGAAAAAAATCACGATCTCAGCTCTCTAAATGAGGCTAGATAGCGTCTAAACAGTAAGAGTTAGAAACCTGCAATTTTCACAGTCCGTTTTAGCATAAGTTACTCTATCTTGTCATCTGTGAGCAAAACGTGTACGTTATTCAGACTCGGAAATACTGAGACCTACATTTAATAATCTTACGAGTTGAAAAACTTTTTTTTTTCAAATGGAATGACCCATATTAATTGGCATGATTGAATGCAAAATTGAATACCTTTTCGACTGATATAAGGTTGTCCATACTTATCTCTAACAGTTTTCCAGAAAAATCAGGTTCTTTTCTAAAATCCGAAAAAGTAGCTATGTATTACTCAATAATAGTTAAATTTAAATTATATTAGAGAAAAGGTCAACTCTAAATTGGTTTTATATACTCAGAATAGAGTCACTGAATTGATAGTTAGCAGTAACTTGGATTTGAGTAAATCTCACTCATTTCTGATGCAATAGTTTCACTCAGTTATACTCAGACTAATAGACTGAAAATTTCACTCAAATGGGTGTGGACAAAAATTGATACATTATTGAGTAAAATTTGAGTGAAATTTTCTTACAGTGTAATAGATGTGGCAGTTTTTAAATTTTAGTGTATCTGGAGTACAGAATTGGAAAAATCGGTTGTTGATCTATTAAACTTCAGTTGTAAAAGTTTTGTCGGTAGAGGAAGCTGCTAAATACTGACGATTATAATGTTATTAACTAAATGTTATACTAATTAATGTACGAAAGTGATTTCGAGGTATTTTGTGTTTTTAATGGGCATTTCCAAACCGTAATATTTCGACAAGAACTCTTCTATCAATTTTAGGTAAATACAACTTCCGTCATTGTATTCTTATTATAATTTTCCCGAAATTAAAAACTGCAACCGATCACGTAACAATAGTTATTCGTGCTTTGTTTGCCGTACATATTTAACCGTATTGTAATACATTTCCGACAAAATATTCCTGAGAAGCAAATCGCGGACCCATAAAAAGTTGGTATTTAAACTGCGATGACTTCAAAAGCGAAAGTTAATCTGGCACATAATGCACCATAACATTAGTCTTCCAACTGGTATCCGTCTAACTAGACCCATTGAAAATTACCGTCACAATTATAAAAATGCTGCATTACTTTTCGACTTTAAACGCCTTTTATCCACTTGTCCGCGAATATAGTAGGTTCTTTAGCAATGACGTTCTAGCTGAACCATGTAATTAAACGAAAATTTATGCTTTTCATTGCATAACGAGAGATTATCAAACCACACTACTTACCTAATAATTAGGCATTTTTATATTTAAACGTCTATTCGCCTAATCTGTATGCCAGTTACTGTTTAAGTAAATAGGGATCAGATTAAAAATTATCGTTATGCAGCTTAAAGCGGTATGTATTGTGGTTTCATTACTAAACGATGCCGATACAGTATTGCGCCCTCGCAAAAAGTGTATATGTGAAATAAACGGAATATTTGCGACTAGGCCTAGCAAAAGTGTAAAGCATGTGTTGTGTGAGTGGATTATTTTTTTATCGGTATGTAGTAACATTTTCTACTGCGGCAAAGAGTGGATCATCAAACTTTGGAGAAAACTTAAACATATGTCTCAATTAAAATAGAGGATTTTTATGCAAAAAAAAAATAGTATTCTTTTATTATTTAACCACAATTTACATTAATTCGATGCGTAAAGTATAATATGTATTTTTATGTTTTCACTTTGTCAATTATGCAATAAAATTCGAATTGACGTCTTTTGTAAGATTTCTCAATCGGCAGACCTGTCAGCTACATTTTTAAGAAGTAATAGATAATTTTGTATAAAAGTTAATGATATTTAAAATAATATATATACTTGGGTGCTCTATTGAAGAAATATTGTTCTAAACATTTAGCTTTTAAATTCAATTTTAAGTACTCGCTATTTGGTTTTAAAATGTTCCTCTTCGTGTAACACCTAAACCTACGTTTTTTTTTTTTTGGTATCTATATCTCAGCTACATTTCACGTTATTTTATTGTCCATAGGCGATAATTACAATTTTTATCGATTCTCATAAGCGATTAGATTTACAGCAAAATCGTAAATGCCATTTTTATAAGAAATTTGCTATAAAAAAGGTCCTTAGTATCTAAGTTGCAAAGTTATTATTTCACGAGATAAATTGAATCAAATCTGCGAAAACTGAAAATATCCTTGTATCGTATTGAAAATTGTTAATAATGTTCGTTGTACATTATATTAATTTATAATGGTATAATGGCTGACCAAATAGTTTTTAACATATTAACGATGCAAAATTAAATGATAAAAAAACCATCGAGTTAATTTTTTTTTCAACTTTCAATTTGAAATATTTAATTAATAAATCAATTAGTTTATATATTAAGTAATTTAATATATTTAGTAAATATATACTATGGGCACTCAAAGAACAGATTCCCCTGTAATCAAGGTTTATGGAAAATAACGCGAAATATAGCTGAGATGAGATAATTAAAAAAAAACGTAGGTTTACGTTATAAATGAACAGAAAAATTTTAAAATCAAACAGCGAGTATCTAAAATTGAAATTGAGAGCTGAAATACTATAACACAAAATAAGTTATCGTTTTGGTAACAAAAATTTTGAGAACGAAAACTAGAAAATTTTGGGAAATTGCCATATGTTACAATTTCTTACTGCACTGTGAACAAATATCAAATTTTTTCAGTATGCGATATTATATGTTAGGCGAAATAAGTTGATAAAGTCAATCCCTTTTTTCTTTTGATACAAAGTGCCGTTTCTTTAAAATTTCATTTTCTCTTTGACATAACAAAATCATCATATTAAGTAAAACAGTATCGAAAAATTTCACTCATATATAATAAGCTCAATATTTCTATAGTCACTCAATCCCCTAAATATGTAGTGAAAAATCCAGGTCATTAGATTTAATATTAAAAAAAAGATCTCTTTGTAGTAGCAGCTGTTTGTTACGTGACTAGTCTTTGTCATGGGTGATAAAACAGTAAAAATACAAGATGTTTCTTTGAATGATTGCATTATTGAACTATTTCAGTGTATCAGGAATGTGTTTTTGTATTAATTTTTTCTACACATATCATTTTTATATCGAATTAATTATAGAATAATAATTTCGAATTTGAATTGCCTCAATACTTTAGATTAAAAAAAAAAGCTTTTTTATTAACCGTAACAAGTAGTTAGTAATTCGTAAATTATTTGAAACAATCCAAATCGTAATTTTGTTGTCACACCACTGAACTGGCTTTTCCCTTATTTTTGGTATAATTTAAGTTTTTGTCCTGTATTTTGGTACTTTATGCCAAAAAGATCAGTTGAGGGTTGTTTTTATTAAACTATTTTTGCCTTCGCACACTAAAGCTAGCAGATAAGTAAAAAATAAGCATCACTATATGAAGCACTTAAAAATTATATAGATAGAAATATAGATTTGAAAATGTACTTTTTTCGTCTGACGCAAATATGAAGTCTGTGTGAGCTTAATAGAAACTTGATATCTTCCATCACTTATGCATCATCAATAAATCATAATAAATCAAATTAACGATTTTCAGGAATATTTATGCGAATATTGGGTTTTAACTCATATGCGAATGAATTTAACCAAATGATATAACAAAAAATACAAAATAGAATCATTTTTTTGCTCCGTAACAATTTATATATATTTTTGGCTGTTTTCAAAGCTAGAGGTTTCATATTGTCTCTTTTCTCACTATGGTAGTATACAGGGTGTCTGCGAAAGGTTGTGAAATCTCGAAACTGGAGATACTGGTGACCAAAATAAGTCGATTGAGCCAAATATGCCTTATGCAAATGTTGCTGGTTTCAAAGATACAGGGCGTTCAATGTTTGAATTTTATTTTGAAATTCCTCAATAATTTCCAAAACTGTCAGAATATGAGCAAAAAAATTGGCACTATTATGTTTTTTGGCATGACAAATAAGCATTTTTAACTAATTTTGACGTTGCTTGTACAGGGCGTTAGTTAGGCCCTATTCCTTTGATAAAAAGGAGAAAAACTTTTTTGCCTTTAGAATTACGGGCATTGTGTATTTAAAATATGAAAGAACGTTCATTCATAAAAAAGTTACCCTTATTCGATTTATATATCTCCCTTGGTTATCGAGATTATTTGCATATACAAGTTTCAATGCATTTCGTTTTTAAGTAATGCGACTTGACAACTAACTAGTGTATGAACCTTTCTTTGTTATTCAATGAACAGAAATTTAATTAAATTTTTTAACAGAACAAAGTTATTTACAGAAAACAGAAAAAAATGGAAATTTAAGAAATATCTACTTAGGACTAAAAATAACTATTTACTATAAAAATTGTTCAAAATGAGCACCGCCTTGCCTAATACACTCACGAGCGCCTCTAATTAATGATGGCTGTACTCTCCAAATCATTTGAATATTATTCTTTATTTCCTGACTAACGGTGGAAAATCCTTTGCCGCAGTTCATCTTCACTTACTACAGGAGTTGAGTAAACACGTCTTTTCAAATCACCCCAGAAGTAGAAATCCAAAGGATTTAAATCTGGCGAACTAGGAGGCCAGGACATTGGTCCTGGATCCACCGATCTGGATAAACCATATTTAAGTGTTTCCTAACTCTTAAACTAAAATGAGGTGGAGCACCGTCGTGCATAAACCACATATTAATGCGTGTTTGTAAGGGAAGATTGGGTAGTTGTTCTTGGAGAAACTGTAAATATCTCTGGCCATTTAGTCTAGGTGGTAATTCAACAGGTCCTATTAAATGATGTCCAATTATGCCGGCCCATAAATTGATCTGAAACTGCACTTGATGGCGGGTTTTCCTTATACCACGAGGGTTTTCGTCTGCATAAATATGTAGATTATGCAAGTTGATGGGTCCGTCCCTAGGAAAACCTGCCTCATCGGAAAATAGTATTGAGGTGGTAAAATTATGAGCTTGGTTAATTTTTTCCGAGGGCCATGTGCAAAATTGTATTCTTGCAGGATAGTCGTCTATGCTTAAATCTTGAACTTTTTGCATATGGTATGGGTGTAGAAGTTGTTCTTTAAGAATATTATTTACCATGCATTTTGAAATCTGAAACTGTCGCGCTACATTCGTAACACTAACTGTAGGATATTCAGCGACAGAATCCAAAACACCTTCTTCAAGTTTAACTGAACGAATAGTTCTCTGAACTTTACCATGTCGGCCCATGTTTGGCATAAAACTACCTTAAATAATATTAAATGTGTTACAATTACAAATTAGAATCCTACCTATTATTCAAAATAAACTAATAGAGATGTCATACTAGTTTCCCGTAACCGTTGATTAACGCGTTGAAATGTTTTTGAATTCGGTAGTTGTCTAATGGGAAATCTCTCAGCGAATAGCCTTTGAGCTCTCAATGCATTACTTCGTGGTTCTCCATAAATTAAGTGCATATCACAATATTCTGTAAATGTAGGTATACTCCATAACTAGGTATTTTTAAAATATTTCAACAATTATTGCCAACTCGACACTTTAATTGTATCATAACAAGTAATAAAAACCATAGTAACGCTATGTGCAGATATTTTTCAGTCACTTGATTAATCCGTTATGATATGACATTTTTTAATACAGTTTAGGATTTTCCACCATAGCCAGGAAATAGAAAATAATATGTATTCAAATGATTTCACCAATTTTTACTCTATAAAATTGTAAATAATTTTGTTCATACACCAGTTGTTAAGTCGCATTAGTTTAATTTATGGATCAAAAGTCGCTTAAAAACGAAATGCATTGAAACTTGTATATGCAAATATAACAAAAGGAGATATCTAAATCGAATAAGAATAACTTTTTTATGAAACAAACGAACGAAAAACAAGTTTTTTCCCTTTTTATCAAAGGAATAGGACATAACTAACGCCCTGTACAAGCAGCATCAAAATTAGTTAAAAATTCTTATTTATCATGTCAAAAAATATAATAGTGCCAATTTTTTTTATTATACTCTGACAGTTTTGAAAATTATTGAGGAAACCAGCAACATTTGCATAAAGCATATTTGGCTCAATCGACTTATTTTGGTCACCAGTATCTCCAACTTCGAGATTTCCCAACCTTTCACAGGCAGTCTGTATAGCAAAAAATCATTATTCGATTACGTTCCATGTAAGACCAAGTCAAGTATGTGTGTTAGTCGCTAACGGGTGATATGACGTCAAAACATGGCTTCCGTGCATTTTCCCGCACTCCATGTTCATTAATTACTTTCAGGGAAAAATTATTGAAGAAAAATATCCGATTTTTTGTAACATAACTAACTAAGATGTGTTCTTTCCAAATATGAATAAAAAAAATATGTTAAATATTTTTAACAATAAATTTTTACCCAAAAAGTTTTACCAAAGTTCATTTAAAGTTTTTTACGAGAGAATTTTGTGTTTGAAAAAAACTAACACTTAAATTTTTATTAAATACTTGCACAATGTTTTCTTCCAGGTTATATTTTTGGGCTTTGCCAGCGTAGCCATTGTCGCGGCCAGCGAAGGACACCAGGAAAGTGACGACGTAAGCACATTTTACCTTCTCTTCTAAAGTATGCCAAGTTTTGCTTGTCCCAATTCTGAAATTTCAGGGCCAGGTCGCTTACAAGTTCGGGTACGGTGTTCATGATCCCCACACCAAGGACATCAAGGCACACCACGAAGAAAGACGTGGCAAGCACGTGATTGGGTACTACACTTTAAAACAGCCCGACGGCACCATACGCGTCGTCCACTACAGAGCAGGACCTCATTCCGGGTTTGAGGCCAAAGTAGAGATAATAGGGCATCCCCATCATGATTCCCATCAGGGTCATGCCAGCAACAAAGCTCAGGTAATTCAGAAAGATCACAGAAGTCACAGAGGTCACGGAAATGATAGAGGTCACGGAAATGATAGAGGTCACGGAAATGATAGAGATCACGGACAGTACTCTGCTAGTCAAGGTTACAGTGTCCATGATCCTGAGGATATTGCCAGATACTTGGGACCCAGACACCAAGGCTATCAAGACGAAGGCGACGAGTATTAACCCCCAGAGGGTTGTGCTATGAAACAATGTGTTATAATTTTTATAAAATTATCGTTGTTATGAGGGTCCTCGACCTACACTGTTTATATTTTTGTACAAGCTGTTATTCCGACAATTTTTTTATTTATTACATGTGCCTACTATTATAAGAAATTAAAGTCTTATATCCATCTGTGTTTGTATTATTTCTTGTAATATCTTGTAGGCGAGTGGTTCACCCCTAAAAAAAAGGCATGAACCGATTAAATTTTTAAAACAAAAACCTTTTTAATTTTATAAAGTGTATTTTTCTGATAATTTATGTATTTTTTTTATATTTTTTGGCGTGGTCAGTCAATTGTTATAAACAAAAGAGTTGTAAAAAAAATACTCTCCGAATGGCTTTGAAAATAGTTTTTTATTGTAAAATGGACTAAAATAAACACTTTTTGTTCTTTGAAAAAAATTCGAAAAATGTGATGTTTCCAAGATATTTACAATTTAATGTGAAAAAAGTGACGAAATCGACAAACTTTCGGAATTTTTTTCTCAAAAACTACTGAACAGATTTTAATTCTAAAAAAAGCATAATAATCGACAGATTTTCTACTTTAAGATATAACGAGCGTTCAAATAAAAACGTGGTCAAGTTGGTTCTGAAAATTTGGACGTAGGGCGTAGCGTATAGCAAATGAACTTAAACGTCATCTGTCAAAGCGCTATATCGCCGCTATCAATTTGAATATTTTCGTTTTAAAAAGCGTTTAAAATGGTGTTTTCTCAAGAACAAAAAGTGTTTATCATAGAGTCCTACTTTAGAAATGGACGCAAGATTGATGGAATATGGAAGTATTCTATTGAGGAATGTTTCATAGAATTTCAAAATCAATTTCCCGGCGTTGTTGAGTACAAAATTTTTCAAAGTGCAGTTCAGCGTTGTGTTAATGTTTTTCGTGAAACGGGCAGTGTAACAAGAAAAGAAGGAAGCGGCCGACCTAAAAAGCGGACTGAAGAATTAAAAGAAAATGTCCAACAAATAATGGAAAATGCGCCAAGAACTTCTGTACGTGTTTTATCACAAATGGTGGGAGTATCAGTCGGTACCTGCCACACAGTGTTAAAAAAAGATTTGCGTTTGTTCTCCTATCGTTTAACTTGTCAGCAAGAACTTCATGAAGTTGATTTTCCGCGACGGGCTGTATTTTGTGAATGGTTTTTAAACAACTACGGTGAACTTCATAATATCACCTTTTTTTCTGATGAAGCCTGGTTTCATTTAAGTGGTTACGTAAACTCACAGAATATGAGAATGTGGTCTTCTGAAAAACCAGATAACTTTTTTGTCGAGGGCCCTCTACACGCTCAAAAAATTGGAGTTTGGTGTGCTCTCAATCGAAGGAGGATTTATGGACCTATTTTTTTTAATGGTACTCTTACTGCGCAAAGGTATAGAGAAGAAATTATCGCTCCTTTTGTTAACCAGCTGGAAGAAAACGAAATTACAAACTTTTACTTTCAACAAGATGGCGCAAGGGCACATACGGCAGGCGAGACGATGAATATGTTGAGGGAAGTTTTCCAAAATCGACTAATAAGTCTCAATGCTGAACATGAATTTCCACCGAGGTCATGTGATATTACGCCGTGTGATTTCTTTTTGTGGCCTTACCTTAAAAACACTATTTTTGAACTGCCTATTCCTGATTTAAACCATCTGCAGGCTCGACTTATAGACAAGATTCGTGAAATTAACAATACCCCGAGCATCTTAGAAAATGTCTTTAATTCTTTGAGGAACAGGTGTGAAAAGTGCTTGGAACAAGGAGGGGGACACTTTCAGCAGCTGCTTTAATTTATTGTTATAACAAGGAGGGGGACACTTTCCGCAGCTCCTTTAATTGTTTGTTATTGTTATCACGATTATTCTTTAAAATAAAGTTATATAGTCATTAACGTTATTGAAACTGACAGCTGCTATACAGCTCGTTGAGAAATGAGGTTAAGTTGGTCGCTATAAGCTACTCCATACGTCCAATGTGTCCGAGCCAACTTCGACCACGTTTTTATTTGAACGCTCGTTATTTTTTGGTATGGGTCAATCATTTTATTGAACATCTAAAGCAAGTAAAATAGTCTTTTAAAGAAAATTATGATAACACTTCAAATTTAAAGTTTATTTTTACAATATCCTGGATTAGATTATATTTACAATAAACATTATTATGATTTTTTTTAATCGATATATGTTAACAGTACAAATGTTCAAAAGATCATTTTGTTTGGTTTTGTAGCCGGAGTAAGGTTTTTGCAAGAATTAGTAAAATTTAAATATTCGATTTTTGGTTTTATGAATGACTAAAATTGACTTGAAAGTTATACCAAAACTAAACTAAATAAGCTTTTTAAATCTTAAAATTAACCTAGTAATAATAATTGACCTAGCGGTCTCGAAAAATTAAAAAGTTATTGAATAATTTATTGTATAGGATAATTAATTTATTTTTATTTTACAAAAATATTAAGAGCAATAAAAGTATATTAATTTCTTGTTTATTTAATTTTTAAATAATAAGTTTTTCGTTATTTTCGACAAGTTCTTGAGTTGAATTAAGCGTTTCATCATCAATTTCGGATGGAACATTGTGACATTCATCTGAGCACGCCCAGACTGCACAGCATTCCAGATTCGATGACAAACAGAACATTTTCCACTACATGAACAAAAATATTTTTGAAGCATATCTAACGCAGTTTCTCCTTCGAAATAATTAAAATCAATCAATGGATCTAGAGTTACAATTTCACTATTTGTAGACTGTTTTATTTACTCGCTTTAGACCTTGAATAAAATAATTGACCTATACCAAAAAAAAAATATCTTAAAGTAGAAGATCTGCCGATTTGTTTGCTTTTTTTAGAATTAAAATCTGTTCAGTAGTTTTTGACAAAAAAATTCCGAAAGTTTGTCGATTTCGTCACTTTTTTCACATTAAATTGTAAATATCTCGGAAACAAAGCATTTTTCGAATTTTTGTCAAAGAACAAATTGTGTTTATTTTAGTCTATTTTACAATTTTCATTTTCAAAGCCATTCGGCGAGTAATTTTTTTACAACTTTTTTGTTTATAACAATTGACTGATCACGCCGAAAAATATTAAAATAATACGTACATTATCAGAAAAATACACTTTATAAAATAAAAAAGTTTCTTGCTATAGGTTTTTGTTTTAAAAATTTAGTCGGTTACCTTCATTTAGGTCACGGAAATGATAGAGGTCACGGAAATGATAGAGATCACGGACAGTACTCTGCTAGTCAAGGTTACAGTGTCCATGATCCTGAGGATATTGCCAGATACTTGGGACCCAGACACCAAGGCTATCAAGACGAAGGCGACGAGTATTAACCCCCAGAGNAAAAAGTTTCTTGCTATAGGTTTTTGTTTTAAAAATTTAGTCGGTTACCTTCATTTAGAAGCATCTTTTTAGGGGTGAACCGCTCGCTTATTGTACCTATACGCATAATAACAAAAATAAATCAAAATATTAACTAAGTCTTGCCAAAATTTTATGTGTAATCTGAATTTCTACGTCCGGAAAGTAACACGTCAGCATTATTATTGGGTAAAAAGTTCTTGTTTAGAAATCTAGACATGGTGAAATGCACTTTTGGTCACTGAGCATTTATTCTTATTAAAAAGTCGGCTAATGCTCATTGTGCAACCACCGAAAAACCTACCACGCATGCCGGCTGTTTAATTCACTTAATTACCGAACGTTTAATTTTTATGTAGGACACTTTTGCTGAAACAAAACTAATTAATTTTTTCAGTCGATTAAAAATACAATCAGAGCATTCATTCTCTTTCTACTTATCGATATAGTTTACCAACAATTGCTCAATTGACATTATAGCTTAATGTTAATAGTGTCTCAAGTATTATATAAAAAAATAAATAAATTTCATGTACTTAATTACTTAGTATAGGTAGTTTTTAATACCGTATCAATGGCACTCATTATAAAATAAATAGACTTTAACAAGTAACTAATGACCATTTGTAGGTGATCAATCATATATTTTGCGTTGTAATAGTGCTACAGCGTTAAGAAATTGTTTATTTGTGACAATTCGAATAATTAATTAATGAAATAATATGAAATTTTAGGTAGGTCCTAGATACGAAAAGTTCTTTGTACATTTGGAATGTTATGTCTTGTTTAACCATTCACGAACTGGAATATTGGTAAACAGTTCTTTTCTTTAAATACATGACAGAGACTGATGGTAAGTATATGTTTTGATTATTTACTAATTTAACAATCTGTTAAAATATAGCCATATTCCTTATTTTCTGGATACAGCTAAATGTAATTTCATTTAAGAATTCCCAACACCTTTCTAATATCCTTAAAGACCTTTTTGTCTAAATCTACCTCAATAAGATAACAACATACTGACATACTCAGCTATTTTAAGTTGAAGTCAGTGATCTTCCTGATAATTTACCTAAATTTCGTATTGTTGGCGGGAGTGTGATTTTCTGCAAACAATTTTTTTATCAACCGTATGCTGTAAAATCAATGAAATTAATTTCAATCTTGTAGTATTTTCGATACAAGTTTACTTACTTTCCAACTTTGGGGAAAACTGGTTTGCGCTAAGAACAGTTGACTTCAAAACCTTGAAATTCAATTTGATTGCAATATATTTCAAAATTACTTTTGGCAACGTCGCATTTGTGGCATCGCTAACACTAGAATTATTTATCCAATTATTTATTAAATGAAATGATTTAGTGTTCAGTAGTATTTTGCTATATTTTAATTCAAAAGAATAGACAAAAGTTATCGAGCAATTAGCATTATAAACAATTACAGTTAGGTAACAGAATTAATACATTAATACTAGATATTTAAACTTTGGAATGTTATATTATTGTCTGAGTAGAACTACTTGCAATTCATGGTTTATGTGTTATTTTTAAATTACTATAAATTATCACTAAAAAAAGCGAGAG